GATACTGCTTTTCCTCTTATTCCTTTTCATGTTACTCATACAACCAATAAATCTTGGATTACTAATGATCTAATAAAAGTACCAATTTGAGAAATATGCATGGTATTCTTAAAAATACTAATAATGACAATCTTAAAAAATCCTATAATTCTCTAAAAAGAAATCATCAAAAAAAAATTATAGATGCAAAAAAAGCTTTTTTTAATAAAAAAATAGCTAACAGTGATAATATTTCTAAAGTAACATGGAATATAATAAATGAAAATACAGGGAAATCTAAAACTAAATATGGTATGCCTAGCAATTTAAAATGTGATGATAAAATTACAAGTAATAAAAGTGATATGCCCAAAATTTTTAATGATTACTTTTTAAATTCAGTTGATCAACTGACATGTAAATTAAATTGTTCATCAAACTCAAATAACCAAATTATTCACAATCCCAATTCAATATTTTTATCACCTGTTGATACAATTGAAGTTTATAATATTATGATATCTGCTAGTAAAAAAAAATCTTGTGGCATGGACGAAATTCCCTGTTCCATTCTAAGATATGTAGCACAGTATATTGCTGAACCTTTCTCATACCTATTAAATCTCTCTTTTACGTTGGGATATTTTCCTAATGAATTAAAAATATCCAAAATAATCCCTATTTACAAAAAAGGGGACCATACCTGTGTCGAAAATTATAGGCCTGTGGCCTTGCTGTCTGTCTTTTCCAAAGTAATGGAAAAGGCTTTTTTTAAAAGGCTGTTGTGTTTCATGGAGGGGTGTGGGTTGCTGACTGACAGACAGTATGGTTTAACCCAGGACGCACTTATCAGTTGTTATCTAAAGGTGCTTCAAGCTTTTAATGATAAAAATAAAACGATTGGTATCTTTTACGATTTTTCAAAAGCGTTCGACACTATTAATCATAATCTCCTATTGGATAAATTAATGAAATATGGTGTGCGCGGAGCAGCATGGAGTTGGGTGAAATCATACTTGTCTGGGAGGCAGCAATTTGTGCAACTTGCTGAAGGTAGCAGTCAGTATCTTTCTCCCAAACGCGATATTACTACTGGAGTTCCCCAAGGTAGCATCCTTGGTCCTTTACTTTTTATTATCTACGCCAATGATGTGGTTAGTCATGTAAATGCAGGTTTTATCACACTCTTTGCCGATGACACAACCGCCATAGTTGAAAGTAAATCATACAATCAGCTCAGCGAAACAGCTAACACTGCAGTCAGACAAATGTCAACCTGGTGTAATAATAATGGTCTAATCTTAAATGCACAAAAAACGAATATCATACTTTTCTACCCTAAAGGTACCTTATCAAATTTAAGTTTATTAATTAAACATGAAAAAACTTCATTAGTTCAACAGGAAGTAGTAAAATTTTTGGGGCTATATGTTGATAAAAACTTATCTTGGGATCATCATATATCCAACTTGATAAAAAATCTTGGAACTAAAAATTATTGCTTACGAAATCTCCGGAATTTCACAAGCATAAAAACCTTGATTACCTACTATTATGGCTGTGTTTATTCTCTACTTTCATACGGCATTTTATGCTGGGGTAATTCGTCTCATATACAGGATGTATTTATTTCTCAAAAAAAAATCATTCGCAGCATTTTCAATCTTAGTTTAAGAACATCATGTCGACCTTTTTTTGTTCAAAATAAAATTTTAACCGTTTATTGTATTAGTATTTTAAACTGTGTGTGCTATGTTAAAAAAAATCTACCAAAGTATGAAAAAGTCTCTGATATAAATTCTTATGTAACAAGAAATGCAGGAGATTTATACGTTCCATGGTCCAGATTGACACAAGTTGCAAATGGGCCACTTATATTTTCATTGAAAGTTTATAATAAATTGCCAAAAAAAATTAAGGACATAAGCAGTTTCAAAATATTTAAAAAAACTGTTATTGATTTACTGCAAGCCGGTTCCTTTTATTCTTATGATGAATACTTTAAATGTCAAATGTAATACTTTTGTTCTATAAATATGCTAGTATTGTAGGCTATATATATATAGTTATTTTTTAAATTAATTTTTAACTGTTTTAATTTTTAATTCTCAATATGTAAATTTAAGTTGTATGTTTTTGTTTATACACTAAATGTTTTTTTGACAATTTCTATACTGGTGTATTATCAGTCAAAGAAAATAAAGATTATTATTATTATTATATTATGAGTCTTATCTTCAGAACCAAAGTGCCGTAATTAGTGCCCTCTGACTATGTGGAAATTCGTTTAACCTACTGGAATTGTCGACCCTCGAATTATTTTTTTCCCACTGTGCGTGATCCCCATTCACTTGGGGTTGGGTCCATCTTTGCGCCTCACTGTGCATTGCGGCTAGAACGGTTTTTACTTAATTTATGACCCCTTACGTCTTAGTAATCTATAGATGTAAACATAAATAAATAAATTTCTTTGGGATGGATTCTTTTGCCTAATGTTTATCGTAACTTAAATGATTAATGGCTTCTTATGTGCCCTTGTATTTATAGTTTTTTTTACTGTTCCATTAGCATGAGAATCTTGGAAATTGTTTGCGAGTAATTAATTTTACCTGAAGAATTATTGTTATTTAAAGGTTGCGTATTTCGTATTAACTAGTAATAATATTATTGGGTGGTCATGGTCATGCAATTTGGTAGCTACTTATCTAGTTTATGCAGACTTGGACTTCGGGATATTTGCCAGGCAGGTGTGCTGAAATTGATCCTTATCGCATGCCGCCCGCACGTGTGGTAGCCCAGGAAATTTTCATTGGAACCGATCGTCTCTCTCACACCTTTTAACCAGGTCAAACACTTGAGGACTTAGTCCAGGGGTAGGTACCACACACAATTTGCACTCTTTTGCACTTGGGACAGTTATCACGTGTAGAATCGATATTGATTTTTTGTTATTTTACGGCGCACTTTTCGCACTTGTTGCACTTTTCGCACTTGTTTGTTTATTTATTTATTTATTTATTACCGATTACCGGTATTTCCGCATACTTAGATTCGCTTTTGATACTTTACTACGTTTGTATCGTATACGCTGCTTAGGAGAGGTCTCGTTAACTATTTTGAGCGTCCTTACACTTACACTGAACTTTAAGTTTACTTATTTGCTGGAAAACAATTTTTAAAAAAGATTTTCCAAAATATTCATCATTTCATACTCAACACCAAATTTTTTGTAGAAATCTTTGGAAAATCTGTAGGAAAAAATTGAATAGATAAAAGAGAACTGTAGAAAAGTACAGAGAGTTTGGTTTTTTATTTTGTATTAGTTTTATTATTAAAAAACTTTTTTATATCAAAACATTGAGTAATCTGATTCATTGCTGGAGAATTCCATCCCTTCCACTTCTTCTCCTTTATTTTCTTGTTCTTCATTTTAATTTTTTGATTTATCACTGGAGAATTCCATCCCTTCATTTTATATATTTTTTATATTCATTTCATTTCAGGCGTTTTAAATGGTCCTGATATTCGGAAATTGCTAAAGTATGAAGACTTTGACAGGGCCTTGGTTCACAATGAGATAGTTGCGTGGGCTTCGATAAGAGAAATCATCGTTGGACTTTTAGGCAAACATCGTTCTCCCAATTATGAAGGATCTGTGCGACGAATGTTGGATGTATTTTTCCAAAATTGGAGTCAATATGTCGCTAAAAATTCATTTCCCATTTGGACTACTTCAGTCGACAGTTATCGACACAATCATCAAACTGCGATGCCATTTGAGTCGATAAAGAGAAAAACGAGCTCCAGCCTAGCCGAAACATTTTGGTGAAGTATACATATTTTTGACTACGATCAGGAAGAAAATGAAAATGAAGAACAAGAAAATAAAGGAGAAGTGGAAGGGATGAAATTCTCCAGTGATGAATCAAAAAATTAAAATAAAGAGCTAGGAAATAAAGGATAAGAAGTGGAAGGGATGGAATTCTTCAGCAATGAATCAGATTACTCAATGTTTGGATATAATAAAATGAATACAAAATAAAAATCAAACTCTCTGTACATTTCTACAATTCTATTTTATCTATTCAATTTTTTCCTACAGATTTTTCGGCAAAATATTTGGTGTTAAGTGTGAAAATATGAATATTTTGGAATATCTTATTTAAACATTATTTTCCATCAAATAAGCAAACTTAAAGTTCAGTTTTGTGTGCGTATTTTATAAATTACTTCTTTTAGTATACTTTACAACATTTTTGCCAGAAGAAGTACCAAGAAATTTTAAATATTATCAAAAAATAAAAAAAAAATTTTGAATATTTGGTCCCAAAAATTGGGTTTTTGGGATAAAGGTTGTTCGCAAAATGGGTTTATTTGTGCTGTAACTATATTTCTACAAAAAATCTTGACGATATAAATCGAATATATGCGAAAAAAATCGATTTATAGGTCTAAATTCGGGTATATGAAGATCGAAAATACAAACGGCCATAAAAAAAAATTCGAGCTAACTTTTACAAACTCAGCGAGGGTTTTGCTATTGGATAGGTATATTTTCAGAAAAAAATGGTCCGGTGCGGTTTGATTTCGATGGCCCGAAAATTGTCGCACAGTGTTATTATCATCGAAAGTTGGAGATGATGCGTAGAGTGGACCTGCATCAGGGTGAGCGTGCAGTTTCGCTGCTTATTCAGGGCTTGCCGGAGGATCTCAAAATTGGAGCTTTGGCGTCCAACTGCAAAACCCCTGAAGCATTGTATAAGAGGTTTTTGACTTCGGTGCAAGCAGGGCAAGAATCCTCCAAGGAGCAAAGATTGGAGAAGAGAAGTGGAGCCTCTACCAGCGGCGTGTCGCGGGTTCGCTGCTACAATTGCCAGGAGATGGGGAACCATCTAGGCAAGGATTGTCCTCGCCCACGTGTGGAGAGATGCATTCGGTGTGGCAAGGTGGGGCATCGAGCACGTGACTGCCCTCTTGGACCATTTCCGGGCCGACAAGGAGGATCATCTGGAGGAAGTCAGGAGGGAGCCACAGAACGAAACAATAGGGTGAGTCTTTTGATTAATCCTTTAGATTCTGTTTTTAGGGTGCTTGGTTATGTTGGGAAAGTTAGTGCTCGATGCTACATTGATACAGGAGCAGAGGAAAGTTTGGTGTCCACTGCTTTTGTGGAGAAAATTGGAGCTCCAATTAAGCCATTGAGAGAAGAGGTGATTCTCAAAGGTTTTGGAGGTGGAGAAACAATGGCGCTAGGCAGGTGTTTGGTGCTACTTACAATAAGTGGCATTAAAATTAACATCTGGCCGCTAATGACAGATGCTGACATGGGGCGCATCGAGATATTGCTCGGGACTGAGGCTATCACTCAGCCTGGCCTGACAATGGTGGTCAGACAGGGCAAGGCCATGTTGTTGGAGGAGGAGAGTCCCAACAAATGGATGAGCAGCTTTGGTATGCCTGAAGTGGAGGAGGGCAAATATGTGATTCGGTTAGCAGAAGACCTATGTTGCGAATCATTTGCGTCTCAGATGGTCAAGGTCGACGTGAGTGGTAAACAAGGTGGCGATTTTGTTATGGTGGACAAAGTTGTAACCACTGAACACGGTTACCTTATGATACATGGCCAACTTCTGAAGCTGCGAATGGAGAACCAGCTGCTGAAGGTGACCAATCTCACAAAAAAGGAGATTCATTGGAGAAAGGGGCGGGTATTGTTTCGATTGGAGTTAGGAGGCAAAAAGGAGGCCAAGGCTGGAGAGAAAAAGAAAGCAACCAAAACTACACAGGTGAATATTATTAGTTTAGGTGATAAAATTGGGCAAGTAAAAATGGGGGATGTGTCTGATTTATGTAAAAATGAACTAATGACATTATTAAAAAATAGGGAGGCATGTTTTTCTAAAAATGATGTTGATGTAGGTTTCACAACGATAGGTAAAATGGAGATTAAAACAACAACCGATGTACCGATATTTCACAGACCCTATCGATTGTCACACTCAGAGCGAAGTTTGGTGAAAGAAAAAATACAAACACTTAAGGAGGCTGGTGTTATCCAAGATTTAGAGTCCAATTACGCTAGTCCAGTGGTGTTAATACCAAAGAAGACAGGAGATGTGCGCATGTGCGTAGATTATCGTGCTCTTAATGCAATAACGGTAAAGGACAGGTACCCATTGCCGTTGATTGAAGATCAATTGGAGAAATTGAGTGGCAAAAGGTATTTTACTACCCTGGATATGGCTCAAGGCTGCCATCAGATGGCAATGCATGAGAATTCGGTGGCAAAAACAGCATTTATAACACCTGATGGTCACTACGAATATTTGAGGGTTCCATTTGGTCTGGCCAACTCCCCAGCTGTATTTCAACGAATGGTGGACAGAATGTTGGGTGAATTGAGACACAAGGAAGTGCTAGCATATATGGATGATATCTTAATACCTTCACATGGAGAACAAGATGGTCTTAAATTATTAAACGCTTAAAGCTAATTGAAAAGGCTGGTCTGAAGCTAAGATTGGAGAAATGTTCAATTATGCAGAATGAATGAAGTATGTGGTGAAGGCATAAAGCCTGGAAAACGAAAAATACAAGCTGTTCTTGATTTTCCTTGTCCGACAAATGTACGAACAGTGAGAAAATTCGTTGGATTGGCATCTTACTACAGGAAATTTATCGAGGGATTTTCTGTGATTGCCAAACCGTTGACCAGTCTAACAAAGAAGGATGTCGCGTGGAAATGGGGAGAAGAGAAACAAGGTGCATATAAAAAACTGAATGAGTTTCTAAGTCCAGTTCTAGCTATATAATCCTCAAGCTGAAACCCAGGTGCATACTGATGCCAGTAAACATGGACTTGGTGGCATTTTGATGCAACAAGTTGGAGATAAAGATTGGAGACCAGTAGCATATTTTAGCAGATGTACTACCACTGCTGAACAGATGTATCACAGCTACGAATTGGAGACTTTAGCAGTCGTGGAGTCAGTGAGGAGATTTCGAACATATTTGGTGGGCGTTCACTTCAAAATCATCACTGATTGTGTTGCCATAAGATCAACTCTATTGAAACGAGATTTGGTGCCTCGAATTGCTAGATGGTGGTTGGCAATACAAGAATATGGAGGTTGAGTATCGAGCTGGAACCAAAATGCAACACGTGGACGCTTTGAGCAGAAATCCACTTGAATTGGAGCGTTGTATTGAAATAAATTTGGTCACCATGAATGAAACTGGTTTTTGTCGGTGCAATTGCAGGATTACAAAGCAAAGCAATTGGTAATGACTTTAAACTCGAATATTGCTGACAGAAAGACGCAGAAGTTATACAAAGTTAAACAAGGATTATATCGCAAAACAGATAATGGAGATCGATTGTATGTACCCAATATGGCCAGATTTACGCTGTTAAGAAGATACCATGATGATATTGGTCATACAGGAGTCGATAAATGTGCAGAATTGGTAAAAAAGGAGTATTGGTTTCCCAAAATGAATAAGTTCATTAAAAAGTATGTTCAATCATGCATAAGATGTGCATTTTCAAAAGGTGACTATGGAAAAGGAGAAGGATATTTACATCCAATAGACAGGAGGCCAGTGCCTTTTGACACTGTGAATATCGATCATTTGGGCCCATTCATGAAGAGCACTAGGAGAAAATCCTACTTGTTGGTGTTGGTGGATGGATTCTCGAAATTTGTCATAGCAAAGCCAACTAGAACAGTCAATTCAAATGAGACTATTGAGAAAGTGATGGAGATATTTGGTGAATTTGGATATCCCAGGAGAGTTATTAGTGGCAGAGGTTTGGCTTTCACTAGCAAACAATTTAAAGCATTTCTAGAGGAAAAATGTGTGCGACACGTTTTAAATGCTATTGCAACTCCTCGGGCAAATGGGCAAGTGGAGAGAGTAAATAGGAGTTTAATACAGGCGATCGGAGCAAGTACCTCTAGTGAAGCTAGGTGGGACGAAAAATTACCAAGCTTAGAGATGTCGATCTCGCACAAGCTGTAGATTTGCGACAACTAACACGAAAACGCGCATTGGCTGCAGAAAATATACAAAATGCTGCTCATAAGATGAAAACTGCTTATGACAAACGACGAAAAGTAGCTACTAAATACAAAATTGGTGATTTGGTGTTATGGAGGCATGGAGCTACGAATAAAAGTCAAAAGGGCCTAAATCACAAGCTTGCAAATAAATATGATGGACCTTTCAGGGTGTGCAAGGTAAACAGCAATGACCGATATGTCATTGAAGCCATAAAAGGAGTAAGAGGCTACAAAAGGTTCAAAGCGCATGTCGCAGTGGATGCATTGCGTCCATACAATAGTGTTAATGATGTAATGAGTGATTGTGAGAGCGAGTCTGAGTGAATGTGGGGCCCCCTTGAAAAAATGTGTGTGAGAATGTTGTATGTAATGATTTTGTATTACTAATAAACTTTCTTTCCCTTTCAGTAACAAAAAAAATGGTTTGTGTATTACTAATAAACTTACTTTCCTTTTCAGCAACAAAACAAAAAGAGAGTATAGCTGGAGAGGTACAAAACAATTTGAAGACTTATGCAAGCAAACCAAATCGACGTCGTCAAGTGCCCAATGCACCACATTAACACAGCACCTTCGAGTATTACAAGAAATTCAGGAAATGCAAACCACCCTGGAAGACGTAACAAACCACCGTAAGAAAAGAGGGCTACTTGGAAAATTTCTCACCTCCGTATTTGGAGTGAATGAAGAAGTGTACCAAGATATCAATGACTTGGACAAAAATCAAAAGAAACTAATACAAACAGCCAATCATCAGTCCAAATTAATGACATCGTCCTTAATTGCTTTCAATGAAACGGAACAAAGAATCAACAAACAATTCCGATTAAAACTCAACCAAGGTATTGCAGCCATTAATCGAATGAATACTTGGTACGGAGCTGTAGATATAAATGCGCTAAATATTCATATTATTAGCACATTTCAGGTAGCAAACAGCATTGCCACCGACACACAACACCGTTTCTCCAAATTAATTTCTGATTTCTCTGGCCGTGGAAACTTACATGAGCTCATGTCAGCAGCTCATGTAAACAACATCCTCCACGAAGCGCAGAGAAAGTTGCAACCAGCATTAGATATTATCCACCACCCTACAATAAGGACATTCTTACATAGTGACAACAAATATGTTCACGTCTACAGCCATTTTCTACTAGTAGGAAAACAGGACTTCTCAGTGTTGAAGGTCACTTCGATTCCTCTACGGATACAAAATAACACTTATTGGAGCACAGAAATTCCCGATGGAATTTTGGCAGTAGACTACAACAACCAGTTATACTTCCAGCTGTCCTCACTAGAATTCAAAAATACCATTCAGCCGTCAATAAACCGTTATGTGTGTTCACCAGCAAGTGTAAAGAAAATGGAAACAACTTCCAATTGTCTCATAGATGAAATATACCAACGAGAAAACCCCACCAAATGTAAAATAATCAGAAGGCCTATACACGAGAACATTTGGAAAGAATTGTATATGGGAAACGCGTGGATGGTGATTCCAACCAATACATCCAAGATTTCAATAACGTGCAACGGTGTCAGGGAAGAAGCCACCATTCATTCACCATGCATTGTTCAGATCTCCCAGGAATGTTCCATAAAGAGCAAGCAGAACATTCTTACCCCTAAGAGGATAAAGGCAGTCCCCGTGATTGCATCATATTCCAAGAACATTCAAATAAACCAAGAGATGTTCACAAATACCAATCAACCAATCATGCAACACGTCGAACCCGTAGAAAGATCAGACCATTATCAGACCTTAAATCCACTACATGTAAAGAGATAAAGAAACACGCCATCGCAACCAGTTGCATAACAGTCATTATCATTGGCACAACAATGATTGCCACCTACAAGGCTTGGCAATACTGGATCAGGACTTGGGATAAACGGAAATCTACTCGAAAAACATCAATAACTGAAGGAGAAATACAGCCAATGAAGAAAGGAACCACACCACCTGAGGCAGCTCCTCGATCACAGATAGAGATGATAAATCTCCAACCAATATATGCGACAGTTTCCCACTCTCTTGCCGAGTCGCCAGAATGTTAAATCTGGCGATTTAAACATATAAAAATATATAAAATTTTAATAATTTAAATTTAATTTAAGTGTTCCAAATAATTTTTTTTACAATCAATTATTTGTCAATCAGCAAAATTATAAATTTCGACATCAATTAATCTTAAAGTAATCAGTTTTGTACCTGTATTCTTACCAAATGTGGTCACACAAATATAAGTTAATATTACTTAGGTTAGCAAAAATATGTATATAAATAGTGATAATTTAATAAATAAAACCAGTTACATTTTAACTCACAAACTTGACTTTACTATTACCCCAAGCCACAAACCCTTAGATCGTGAGGCTGCGTTCTACAGTAGTAAACAACCAGCAGATAATTTATCAATTATCTCTGGTCAACATAAACATAACAGCATTGCTGTTATTCATACATGGAAGTCAATTTTATATAAACTTATGTTATATATATTCATGTATTATTATATATAATCATATATATATCATTTATTTTCATAATTTTTTTTTATAAATAATCATATATATTTATATAAGAGCATACATGAATATACATGATTATATATAGATTTTTTCCCCGGGACTATAATTAATAAACTTCCACTCCAAAATATCCTACCGACTGCGCCATGAAATAGTAAACTAATAAAATACAAATAAAATATAAAACCACTTATTTAAACATTTCGAATAAAACTTAACAAAACAAATTAGTGCAATTATCGCAAAATATTGGGTCAATATCAAGATTCCCGCCCCTAAATTTCAAATTTAATAAATAACTCTTCAACCTACTCTGGTATTATTTATATTTTATTTGTATTTTATTATGAACTAGGAGTTGCGAAATGCGAATATTCGTATTTCGCATCCATATGAAACCGAATTAAGTAAGCGTTG